GGGGCTGAATTTGGGGCTGGGAGCGGTCGGCGTGGGAGCCGGGACTGGGACGGGCCAGCAGAGCCCCACGGAGAGGAGAGGAGGGGTGAAGCAGGACCCGGAGTCAGACTCAGACCTGGAGATCACAGATCTGAGCGACTGCAGCTCGGAGAACGAAAACGAGCATGAATTCGGCATCAGGAAGGAATCCAGCTTGGCGACCCGATCACAGATAGTGCTGGATGGAAAGAAAGGGAGTGTGCTGCCACCCATCTCCTCTCTTCCCCCGACAGTGTCCCCGCATCCTCTGAAGAGCCTGATGCCCATCAGTCCCCCGCCCCCGTCCCTGCCTCCATCACTTTCCCCCTCCATGGCTCTGCATGAAAGACACAGGGAGACAGAGACTCTCAAAATGATACACAGCTAATACATTTTCTCCCGCGTCCACCATCTTGCCCGTCTGTGCTCTGATAACTCTCTTTTTCTCTTCTTTCTTTTCTCGGAGACACTTTTCTGCGTTAAATTGTCAACACCACAATCACTCTCGATAGATACTTTTTTCCAGGAAAGGCAGTTATGTTCTATACTTCTGAAATTACTGTTTCCCTGTTTGCTGTGTAAGTTTTTAACTTGCCCACAGTCCATTACACCACCGTCTCTCGTCCATCTCAGAATATATGGGGCGTACAGTTTTCAGAGTATCGGCTGTCTGCATCGCCATCTTGTCCTTTCTGTTTTGATCTCTCACACCAAATGATCCCTCCATGCTTTGTAGACTTGTTTTACGCGTTGCCAGCAGGACTCTACAATTTGCTGTCTGCAGCCGAGCTATGATAGAAGGCAGTGAGGTGGTAAATTGCAACACAGCAATGCCTGCCTTGACAAACATTAACAAACAACATCCCTATACTAACAGAACAGAACAACAAATAATGCTCAGATCGATCCAATTTTACAGATTTGTCCTGTAATTCTTGAGATTTGGACTATATATATAAATATATATAATCACTATGACTTTTGAGACATAGTCAAATACTGCCACCCAGTGGTCCTTTCACTCAACATCTCCTTCATCATCTTACCTCCGTAATCCTGTGAGTACAATTGTTGCCCCTGAGTTTATTTTGCACTTACTTTTATATGATATTGTTTCTTGCAGGTTGATTTAAATGTTGAAACCCATATTTTTTAATAGTGTTACCTGTGATAGTCTGTGAATATTTATTTTGTCCTGTGGTTCAAGTATCTTTCTGCACATTTTCTAAAAGGAAAGAAAAAGAGAGCAGAGGGAGCCGGACCAACCTAGAAATTTGTATGAATATTTCAGTGTATATATTTTATTATGGTGTACATTACATTTAATTATTATTCACTATGATAAGATTTAGCTGTATTGTTGTGATTTAATTCAGTATTTAAACATGTTGGAAAAATTATAAGCTTAGGTGTATCAAAGTTTAAATTATTAATGGCAGACGGTCTGCACTCTGAAGATGTTTTTCTATGATGAGGACAGAGTTCACACTGGGAATTGTGTCTGATTTTCTCGACCCCAATTAATTGTGCCCTTTGGTCATTTTTGCCAGACGCCCAACGTATGAACCCTTTGGGTTCAAAAATATGCCGGTAGACTTATTTTTATAGTTAGCATTCACCCAGTGTAACTGTACTGTAATTAGTCAAATGTGAATAATATTGGTCTTTGCATTTTCTTTTTTAAATCCTTCCCCGAAAATGTGTTTTGATTATTTTTCAATCAGTACTTTTTGTCCATGCCAGCAGCAGGGCAATCGGTTTTGCTTGAGGACATTAAAAGAAAAAAGAAAACTGTTTACGTTTGCAAATCTAATGACCAACGTCCCTCCTGCGGCCCCGTCTCTCAGCACAGAGTGAACACTACACCATATTGTACAGCTTCATAGCCTTTATAGCCTATGGTTTGTCAAACAGTGGCGGTATACGATTAGTTGTGAAAGCTCTATTGTAAAGTTAATGTAAAGCTCTATGTTTGTTGAGTTGCTACGGGAAAGGCCTCCAGTCACCTCCACGTGGAGTTCACAAAACTAACAGCTGTAAATACTGTTTCCTTTGTGTGTGTATGTGTGTGTACACATCCAAAAATGACAATGCAGTGGTTTTACCTGTCATCTCTCTTTGTTTTACTGTAAAGAGGAAAAATGGAAAGTGCAAAAAAGAAGAAAAAGATTAATATCTTCAAAAGCAATAAACATTATTCTGGATAGTGGACTGTTGTTGACTGTGAGTTTGTTGAACGTACACAGTGTGTGACATCGAGCAGCAAAACGAAAGGTGGACACCACAGTATTTTTAATATTTGGAATTAAACTAAATATTTCTGTCCGAACACTTTATATTTCCTGTAGTAAATAATTTCTGTTATAGATCATTCAGATGTGACATCTGTGCCAAATTCAAATTTTGGTATTGTTTTAAAATCTACAAAAAACAAAGTCACAAAGAAAAAAGGAATTTAACTGCACTGATAGAAATAATGATGTAATTCTTACCACACTGTAAAGAAATTAAGAATTAAAAGTTTAATTTCATCACAGCAAATTTGTATGGCTTCCTGTAAAACAGCACATATTTTGTCCTCATTTAATTCAATTAACAAAAGTATTTTTTTTAATGATTTGAGAATGACTGATACAAGTAATATATAGATTTAAAACCCTAATAGTGTCGTGTATTTTTACAACTTGCTCCTGATTTGGTGGTTAAAAGCTTCCTGATTTACTTTCATTTCATACAACATCCCTATGAAAACACACATTTATGCCATAGTAATGATAATAATAATAATAATAATAATAATAATAACAAAAGTATTAACACAGTTGTAGCCATCACATTGAACATGTACCTGAATTCATAGGATGCCTGCTGAAGGTGTCATGACCATTCAGACACACATTTTTTGGGCTTGTATTTTATTACTTTTGTATAGGTGTGTATGCAATAGCTCCAATTAATGTCAAAAATAAAAAAAACATTCAACACACATGCTGATAATTTCAGACACTAAACAGTATATTTTTCCTTTATCTCAATGTCTCATCACCAATCTGGTAATTATTAGTGTGAATCCAAATCCAGGTTGTGACACAGCATCTGAGTGAGGGACAAACCGTAGTAACACCTTTCCTCCAAATCTCTGCAGCTGTGATGATCAACATCATGACGTATGAGGTCTGAAAACATATTTTAATTACACTCACACAGTTTGGACATGAACGGCATGACCGAGGAATGTTTGTACATTCTCACAGTTGATGAAAAAAACGTATAACCTCCTCAGCTATCACATCTACAGTCTCAAGTCATCACACATGCCACCTGAAATGTGTGATGTAATCAAGGTTATGAGCATGATGAAAGCGATGAGGAGTGAACCTGATGGGGAAAGCAGACACAGAGGTTGAGTGTAGTTAGGAAGCATGGGCGTAGGTATCAGGGGGGACGCAGAGGACATGTCCCCCTCAGTGTTGGACATTTACTCTGACAAAATTAAAGACATTCACACAGTAAAGTGTTGCAGAAAAGGCACAGATTGTCACCAGAATACTGGAAATTACAAGCTCAAGGTTTTCTGATGGCGGACCCCAAGACCTCCAGTTTCAAATGTGTCCCCCACAATATTAAAGAACACCTACGCTTTTGTTAGGACGTGACAAAGTCCCTGATAAACTGTAATTCACCAGCTTCAGCTTGTTTTGCTGTGTTTTGTCTGTATTTATTTTATTGTATGTCTCTTTTTCACCTCATTTAATCTTCTTTCTTGACTGTCTAAATGTCTCTGCACTTGTTTTTACTTGTTCCCTTATCAACTTATTACACAATAAAGGTCAAAAAAGAAAAGTAATTCACTATCAGCACAACAGCTCAGCCTGGACTCTTCACCACCAAATTAGATAGGGAGAAATTGCACACTGTGTCAACCTGTAATGCAAAATATATACATATATAAAACTGGACACAAGCAAACAGTGTTTATTTCAGGACATAAAAGAAATCTGAGTGTCTACAATTCCATAAAACTAAATGTAATGAAGATCAGCTGCTGTTTCCAAGGTCAAAAACAAACCCCCTTTATTGAGGATTTATTGAATATAGATGCAGTTTTACGTCATTACTTTGGGAGCACAGGTCAAACTGTGAGGTCAGTCCCACTAAGTCAAACTGCAGATGTGCAGGCGACCAGGTTGTGCCTGTGTTTCTCCACAAGGTGGCGTAAGGAGGCTGGAGTAGAGGTGAGACCAGTGGGTGTCCAGGCAGGTAGTAAAGTTTGATTTGAGCAATTCAACTCTGCAAACAGTTGCTTTGATTTCCCGACAGACATGTTCTTTACGGTGCATTAACATGTGTGCACTGTATTTAAATTAGAGCACATCTGTGGAAAAAAAAGACAAAAGAAAGTGGAATAAATTATGCTTGATATAGGTTGTTTAGGAACATATAAGAGGAAGAACCATATTTTCTGATAGGTGCAGGCATCTCAGAGACAAATGTGCAACAAATTTCCAAATTTCTCCCAGACAAATAAATGGACTTTGACTTGCATCAGTAAAGTGTTGGACAGCAGATGGGAGCAGTGTTGCAACGTGCATGAAACAGTCAAAACACCTCATATAACATACTTTAGACTCATATTTTGTTAAGACTAACATGAAATGCACATGTACAAACGCTTACAGAATATTTACATTGAGTGCGGCACAAGGTGAGGGCTGAATGGGGACGAGTTACTGTGTAACACAGTGCGGAAACAAGCCTTTCACACGTTTTGCTTTTTTATAAAACTTTGTCAGTGGAGCCAAAAGGTACAACCAAGCTAAGAGTTACATTTGAAGCAGTTTTAATGTTGTTGTAATTTATATTTTTTGCGCCATATCTTTACTTTGTATCCGCCGTGTGTCGGTCCCCTGCGCTTTTTTTTTTTTTTTTTTTTTTTTTTTTTTGATGTGTACTTCCGCGTACAATGTTTTTTTTCCCACTGACACACGGCAACTTTCGAACAGGAAACCTATTAGACGCTTCGCCTGTCGCTTTCTCTTTATCCACGGGTGAGTATTTTATTTCAACACTTGTCGCTGACGAACATTACAAAGAGTTTTAACTTTTCCAGAGGAGCTTTGCGTGGTGAAATTTAAAGCCCGTCACGGATGTTTGTTTTATCGAGAGAAACGGCTTATTCCTGCCCTCCACAGCCCCGAGAGCTGCAGACGGTAGCGTCCACATACAGGAATGCTGCCTTTGCACGGCATATCTCGCCCTCTGTGGTTGTATATAAATAAAAAAACGAGCTGATAATGCTTTTATTTAACACTGTGGTTAATGAATGTGGCCCTGGCACCAAAATGACTCCCATTAGGGAACTTGAAGCATGTGTCAGAGGCAGTTATGTGGGCACGTCAGGTAGCAGAGGTGGCCCTTGTGAATTTTTCTGCCAAAGCCATCTAGGATTTTACGAGTCGTTTAGATCTCCTACCAAACTACAAATCACTTTAATATTCCCAAAGCGGGCTATGCGGTGTCATTTGAGTTTATAGCTGGTGACCTTGTGAAATTTTATGTATCCTTATCTTTGCAGGAGTGTCCTGCTGACAGTCACCACAGAGGTGCTGTGGTTGTTTCCTCACAAGGAAAATACTGTTGTTTATTCTTTTTATATTATCTCCGTTTCCTGCTCTATTCATGTGAAACAAAGGCTCTCAGCACTGTGACTTAATTTGGATAATCAGTGCCAGATCAAACTTTTTTATTTCCTCCTATCTGTCAACTTTGTTTTCACCATGGGCGGATTATGAGACATTGGGCCCCTGGGCACAGACATGCAAAAGGCCCCACCACCTCAACTAAACAGGAGCAAGACACATAGATTTTGTAGTTGTTTTGCCACTGTACATTGTTTTGTGTTTGTTTGTAGTCACGTTGCATTTCGTAAAAGTAATTTTGTGGATTTTTATGGGTTGTTTTGTGTCTTCTCACGGTTGTTTTTTGTGTCTGTTTGCTCATTTTGTGTCTCTCTGAGTTAATGTTGTGTCTTTTATTGGTGATTTTTTTGTTAGGCTTGTTTTGCCCCTTAGTTGCAGGGGCCATTGCAGTTCCTTTGCTTCTCTTTGTGGTCATTTTGTGCCCTTTTTTGTCATTTTGTTTCCTGTAGTGGTTGTTCTGTGGGTCTCTCTGCTCATTTTGTGCCGCTATGAGGTGATTTAGTGTCTATTATTGGTGATTTTTGTGTCAGTGGTTGTTTTGCCCCTTGGTTGTTCAGGTCTTTGCAGTTCCTGTACATCTCTTTGTGGTCCTGTTGTGACACTGTGGCAATTTCATGCCCTTTTTTGTCATTTTGTGTCCTGTAGCGGTTGTTTTGTGGGTCTGTTCGCTCATTTTGTGCGTCTTAGGGGTCATTTTGTGTCTTTTTTGGTAATTTTTTGTTAGGGTTGTTTTGCTCCTTAGTTGGTCTGTTCTTTGCTGTTCCTTTGCATCTCTTTGTGGTCGTTTTGTGTCTCTTTGTGGTAATTTTGTGACTTTTTATTGGTGATTTTTGTGATTAGTTGTTCTGTTCTTTGCAGTGCCTTTGCATCTCTCTGTAGTCATTTTGTGTCACTTTTGGGTAGTTTTGTGCCTTTTTTTGTCGTTTTGTTGTAGTTGGTTTGTACGTGTTTTTAGTAATTTTTGCCTGTTTGAAGTAAATTTGCATCTTTTTTGGTAGTTTCTTTGTCAGTGGTTGTTTTGCCCCTTCTTGTAGTTGTTCTGTTTCTCTTTGCAGACCCTTTGCTTCTCTTTGTAGTCATGTTGTGTCTCTTTGCAGCTTTTTTGTGTCCCTTGTAGTCCTGTTAAGTCTTGCTGGTGTTTGATTAAATGAAATGTTGCAGGTGAAGGCCCGTGACACTCTGGGTCCCCTGTGCCTGTGCCCGGTAGTCCTGTTTTGTAATCCATCCATGTTTTTTGAACAGCATGAAATGAGGCTCTGTATGACATGAGTCCCTCCTAGTTTTCTCTCCCCCCTGCTTTTTTCCTATACCACTCACTCATCTGATCAGCCTATGTAGAGTGGGAGTTTCAGTCCAGACACTGTTCAGTAATTAGTGTCTGCATATAATTGATTACCCATGATGATTTTGCCTTGTGAAACAGAGGACATTGCCTACAGTGCAGCATAAGCGAGAGTTTCCTGCGCTCACAGGAAACTGCAATTACTGTACATCCAGTGCGGCTTCATTATCTCACTGCAGTCATTAACTAAAGATAGAGAGGCTTGAACAGTGTGGGCTGTGCTTGCCAGTAAGCCATCAGTCATGTTTTTATTAATCACTCCTCAACAAACAACTTCAGTGTTGCCAGGCCAGTTTGACTTACCTCTGTGACTTTGACTCCTGCAGGTTTTTTACTCTGCAGGCTCTGACTTAACAAACTCATGATTCCTGTGAATTATAATAACGAATTAGTTATTAGACAGGGCCGTGTGTGTGTTAAGGGCGTTGCAGCCGGTGGTTTTGGAGACTGTGACGCGTTCCCAGCCAGACGCTGCACCCCAGAGGCCCCATGTGAAGCAGGGCCCTGCCACTTCCTGTTACGCTCTGCTAGACTAGAGGAGCACTGCACTTGTCATCTCTCTCTCCCTCCACGTTTTACAAGTGCAGGCCTGTCTGGAGCCCAAAGGCTACCTTCTCTTCCTTTTAAAGGAATGTTGGCTATTTAATCTGAGTTGCTGTGCCGCTCTCTCTCCCCCTCCTCGTCTCTCTCGCTCTCTCTATTGTTATAGGCCTACGTAAACTCACCCACATCCACTGTCTCTCAGAGGGTAGGAGGATAAACTGGGATAGGGCTGCAGTGTGGTATTGTTGTTAGCCTCTATGAGAGATACCCAACAACTGGAATGACAGGTAATGGCACCCGCAGTGGAACAGCCAGGGGGTGTCCTAAGGGCCTGGAGCTGTGTTGCAGGCAAGCTAATAATTTTCTGTAGTCAGGCTCGGACTTCAAAGGGAACACAGGTATTCTTCTCTGGCTGCAGTTAGATTGACGCACAGGCAGCAGATAATGAGAGACAGAGCGGACTGGGCTGCTCTTCTTCTCTCAGCGGGTCAGCAGTGAAATCTACTGATTCCTCCTGAGTGAGCTCAGTGGGTGAGGTGGGGTGAAGTTACAAAAGTCTGTGTGTGTGCATGTGTGTGTGTATACAGGAAGGTGGTTATTTTGTACTGCGCCTTCGACGAAGCTATACCTGAAACCACAGCTAATCTCAGCACTGAAATAGGTGATGCACTGTGAGGTGTGAATGTGTGTTTCTGCAGCTGTTGGAATAGATCATGGATACATATGCGGTATGTTATTGTACATATATGAGGGAGACAAAAGAGATTTGTCACCTGAAAGACGATTTTTTATTTCTTAAACATCCATGGGTGTCGTAGGCCATGTGAAGATAGATCGGTTTAATGTCACTTCAGAGGAGAACTGACTTTGTTCGCTGTGTGAGATGAGTGAAATTGGGAGTGAGGTTCATTTTTTGTTGTGCTGTCTTGCCTACGAAGACATAACGGTTGTACTTTTTAGAAAAATGACCTCCATTTATGTTGATTTCTATCTCTGTGACCACGAGAATTCAGAGTTATGTTTCAGAAGGTGAACCTTTTTACGGCAGACTATGTTTTCCAGGCCTGGGATAAAAGGCGGAGCACGTTGTTGAGGACTGCACAGTAAGATAACATGTGCTTTGGGTTGATAACTGCAACGATATTGTAATGGTGTCTTGTAAACCAATGAGGGTGGTGCACATGTTTAAACGATAAAGAATAAAGCAAATCAATCAGCCAGTGAGGGTTATGTTGTAAATCAGTGAGCAGGATTTAATGCAGCTTGGTTTGGCTGGTATATTTACTGGATTATAAACTGGATTAACAACAAACAGACGTTTCCATCTGGTTGTTTTATCTTTAATGGCTCCTCAATTGAATTTTTTAGAGAACACATCATAATATTTTGTCACATTTTCAAGGTAGACCAAGACGACAGCATGAAAAGACACAACGATACTAAAACAGACGACAATAGGCCTTCTCACCATAAAAGCGCAGGTGTGAACAATAAACTTAATGATGGCTGTGTTCCATTTAGCTGCTGGTTCTCTGTCACACCGTCACGACTCTCTGGGACACTTGAATATAACGAAGCCATTGATGAAGCCATTGAAGCCATTGACTGCCATTGATGTTATTGTAACACCTGTGCTTTTACTACTACGATGAGTCAACCTGTAATAAAAGTCACGCCCTCGCTCACCACTCCCTTGTAATCGTTTACTCTGTAGGGAGCTCTAAATTACTACCATACTAATTATTGTAATTTTGCATCATCGGTGACAGGTGTCATGTCATGTGACTCATTTTTGTGTACTTGTCATGGACACTGTTTATTTTATTGTGGCACTATATAATTCACACATCTCAGATTCAGAATTCAGACACCTTACGCAGATGTTATTGCAATTTAAGATTCAATCTACTGTAATAGAAGATTTTAGCCAAGTTGCCTATCAGTAGTGTGTATGGGGTTTAGACGAACTGTATGAGACAAATTAAAAACTGAAATGTCAAAATGAAAGCAGCAGAGGCCATGGGTCAGGCTCAGAAAACATTTGATTCTACATTTCCCACAATGCACTTCAGTAGTTTGTTCTAAATTAGACTCCCCCTGCCTGTTAAATTCGCTCATCGTTGACACACACAGGGCTGGGTATTGTTTAAAGTGATAACAGTACAAATACCACTTCCCCTGAAGTAGAGTGCTTCATTTGATACCCATCATGGCAGTGTAAGTAGTCAGTATCATAAAATGCCACCAGAAACGCCACCAGCGCGTTGGTGGCATCTTGACACGCTGAACTGCTAACTCCACCAGATACACCAAGCTGGACTTCACCATACCTCCAACTGTGTGGCAGGGGTGTCCAAACCTTTCTGAATGGGGGCCAGCTGCTTCTCCTATCATATGGGTTATTTAAAAACAAGTCACATTCAAATGGACAAATGCAGATGTTTCATCAATCAGCGAAAAAGCA